GCTGATTACTTGCACCATTAAGTGGCCGACTAGTGTAAAAAGGTTGCGGTGCCCTGTCCCAAGCAAATCATCTGGCCACGGCTATCCTAATTCCTTTCCTGATTTAAGAAACTAAGGAAATCATTGACGAAAGCTTTAATTTCCACTGTCAAAAGTTCAAAATTTTCTATGGCTCTTTTTGGCATCCAGCAATCAAATAAACACCGGGATACCAGATAACTAATATATTTATACTTACATTTAAAACATGACAGTATATATATTAATTGATAACTACGCTAAAATGATCTTCTTAATAGTAGAGGCAATGCTCTGACATAGGAAACTCGGCGAGCAGTAAGCCACCATCACATCTTCCTTCTCTCAGTGCAGGAGGCAATGATATTGGCCGGTGTAGGAGTGAGGAGCTCCTTGAGAAGTTCAAGAGAGCTATTGAACGTATTAGGGTGAAGGAAGGGATCCCTATCATATGTGGTGTCCTGCCTAGTGGGAGAGTTGGCAATGAATGGTTGTCAAGGGCAGTTGGTGTCAACGGCCGTCTTGACAGATATTACAAGTCAATATCAGTCTCATTCATTGACAACTGGGACAACTCTTACAGCAGAAGGGACCTTTATACTAGGGATGGGGTACATTTGTCTAGGAATGGGATGGCAACCCTGGCTGGCTATCTCGAGAGGGCAGTTCAAAAGATGTCGAAGTCTTCAAACTGCTAGGGGAACGTGTGAGCACGAAACGAGGAGATGAAGAGGGAGCCGGTAAACAAAATGAAATGTTACAGAGAAATAGTGCTAGGAATGATGAGAAAATAGGGAGTTAAAACCGAAATGTGACAAAGGGAGGACTCCGATCACGACTAACTTAAATGTCTACTGCGCAAACAGTAGAAGTATGAGAAACAAAATGGATGAAATGAAGGCATTGGTATGTACCGAAAAAATTATATAATAGCATTAACCAGAACATGGATAAACTTGTAGTCACGTGAATTACCTGTCAAATACCAAATTACAGGTTACAGATTATTCCATACTGGTAGACAGATTAGGAAAGGAGGCTGGGTAGCAATCTTTTTCAGGGATAATCTCTGAAGTGTGAAATAAATAAGGAAATAAAACTGAAATGAATACAGAAACAATATGGATAGAATTAACCGATGGTAGGAAAAATTAATCTTAGGGTAATATATAGACCTCCTAATCTTGATAAAGTTAATGAGCGACTCATTCGGGATGAAATGCTCAGGGCATCCAGACATAGCAAAATCTGTATAGAAGGCGACTTTAACGGGTAACTCAGAATCAGAGGATTTTCTTGAAACCGTTCAGGACTGTTTCCTAAGTCAATATATAACCGAACCCACCCGGTGTGCTAATATACTGGATTTAGTTCCGTCAAACAGAGAAAACATCAAAATTAACGTCGAGGTAGGGAACAAACTAGCTAACCGCGATCACAAAGAAGTGAGATTCACAGCAGAATTTAATGGCAATCGCAAGGAAAATTCCATTTAAGTCCCAGATTTCAGAAGGGCAAACTTTGATAGTTGAAAGCGCAGCTGAGATAAAGGGTATTACGTTTGGGATGAATTATATGACCTCACACAATGTACGCACGGAGGGCGACATCACTTTACCTGGTGACCGTACAACAATAACCTCACAAAATATGATGGTTGAGGATGACCTGATCACGAGATCTGAGGTTGACGAGTTCCACAACAATTTAAATAAAAAGTTACTTCATGTACACAGGCAGAACATACCATACAGAAAACTCAGACCAAATAACAATGACCCCAAATGGATAAATAATTATTTAAAGAATATTATTGGCCAAAGGAAGGCTATAGGTAGGAGAATAAATTGTGGTGAAGTTTACCTCTGAGATTATTATAAGGTATTGGCCAGTAGAGTTAAGGCCGAGATAAGAATAGCAAAGAGGAACAATGAATTGAAAGTAGCAAGGGAGGCGAAGTCATACCCCAGGGGATTCTTCCAAATGTATCAAACTAAAACAAGAGACAAGATTGGACCAATACAGTCAGATACCGGCGAGCTAACTGATAACGACAGAGAAATGAGCAATAATCTGATTAGATATTTTTCAAAAGTTTTCACTACCGAAAATTTAAACATGATACCTGAAGCACCGACTATATACAGAGATAGTGAAGAAATAGATTAAGTGAGATACAGTAGTAGTGACTAGTAACGATGTTAGTAAGCAAATGGACAAGCTAAAGCCTAATATGTCACCAGGTCCCGATGAGATATTTGCCAGAGTATTAAAGAAAAGTAAGGAAGAGCTTAGTATGCCCTCAGCAAACTTGTTTAACATGTCATTAAAAACGGGTGTAGTACCAGAATCCTGGAGGATTGCGAATGTGATACCGATTTTCAAGAAAGGAGATAGATCACTATCCTCTAACTAGCGTCCAGTCAGTTTAACATCAATTGTAGTGCTGGAAGTAATAATTTTAAACTCTATTCGAAATCACCTGGAGAAGCACAAGTTGATCAATGATATCCAACATGGCTTCACAAGTGCGCGTTCTTGTCTGACTAATCTATTAACATTTTTTCATTTGGTTTCGAATCGGTGGACGACGGTGCCCGTCGCATACCTGTATCTCGATTTTAGCAAAGCCTTCGACAGAGTCCCCACGATAAACTATTACGAAACTTGGAGGTTCATGGCATTGGAGGAGATATTCTAAAATGGATTAGGGCATGGTTGCAGGACAGGAAACAGCGAGTGAGCACTAACGGCACTAAATCGGATTGGAGTAATGTCATCACTAGCTGGTGACGTCACAGCCAATCACTGAGCTTTTTGAGTCACGTGACCTTTGAGAAAATATCTAGCCTATTTTATTAGAATATATGGTTACAATCGTGAAATTTAGCCTTTTTTTTTTTTACTTGTTGAAATGCTTTTTTTATAAAAAAACTTGGGCACCGTCAACTCGTCCAATGTGTCTCAGAGACTCCTTCTCAGTTGTAAATCAAATTTAGAGAGAACCTCTCCAGGAAAGGTCTGTGATTGAACTTTGTCAAATTTTCACACCGGAATATAAAAGTGACTGGAAATCAAAGCACCCTTTACGATAGCATCTGTTGGTGATATAAAATAATATTAATCCTATGATAGGTATGTGTTTTAATCGAAGTCGCCTCGAAGGTAACTCACAAATAAATAGAATAAGTAGAATTTTCAAATGTAATATTAACGAGCGGGGAGCCTGCCACCTCTAGCTACGGCAGCATATCTCGAGGAACAGACAGAGTTATCCAAACGGGGATAGTACTTTACTTTTGAAGAGCGTTATAAGGGCCGGGCCATTTACTTGATTTACTTTCTTTCAGTGGTTTGAGAACTTCAGTCCGTTGTCAACATGAACACCCAGGTCCTTTTCACATTTGGTTTAAGTTAATTATGTTATTTTTCGTCTCGTTTGGACATGTGCTACACCTCCTTACTGTTGATATGATCTAATTGCATCATTTTGCACTTCGTGACGTTGAATCTTAATAGCCATTATTTTGATCACTCCTGGAGCCTAAAGAGATCTTCACTATCTGTTTGGTTCTTAATTTCCTTGAATAACTTAACATCCAACGCAAATATATATATATATATATATATATATATATATATATATATATATATATATATATATATATATATATATATATATATATATATATTTATATATATATATATATATATGGAGGACTGAAAAGCATCTGGTATAGTATTCATAAAACAAACAAGCAACAGCGGTCCCTGTACACTGCCCTGTGGTATGTGGTAACCCACTTGTCACGGGTACTTAATGAAGTTTCTGGTCCACGTTAGGAAGCTCACCAGAGTTCCGTCCCTTCCCAGTTTAATTTTGAGCATTTCATAAGGTATTGTACTCTGTCGAAAGCCTTGGCAGAGTCTAAATACATCTTACCAATATTGCCACCACGCTCTCGGGTCTGTGTAATTGCGTCAAGGAGGAGCATCCAGGCATAAAACATTGTTGGCAATCCTTTACAAAGGTATTGTGTTGTAGTTGTTCCATCACGGCACACTATGCTGATCAAGCTCACCCGCTTATAATTGTTCGTGCGATCTCCCTGTTTAAATATAAGACTCACAATACCATTTCCCAGTCCCTGGGACCTTTTGCTCACCCATGCATATGCTGAACAGGATTTCAAGGGGCTCGGCAAGTTCGTTGCACAACTCTCTTAACATTCTGAGAAGCACACTATTAGGGCCAGGGCTTTTATGTACGGTACAGTTAAAAGTGTAATGTTGCAATTGTGTACACTTTTACCATGAGAACCTATTTATGTTAGGGGTTATGTGTTATCTGATTTTATATAATGTGTGTTTGTCTGTGTGGTTGTGTTTCACCGTTTGGATGTTTAGAACTCGATCTGCTTTGTGGGGCCCCTTTTGTGTGGTGGCCCCTGGCTCTAGCCCCTGTTGTCCCCCATTTCGATCTGGCCCTGGCTATAGGCAGAGAAGAGGTGACTTAATAGAATTTTATCTACATGTCAGAGGGCATTACTCAGTCTAGTGTTCATAGTTCATATTTGTAATTGTAATTGTCGGATGCCTGCCCCATTAGGTGTCACAGCCTCAGGTTTACGAAGCCACAAGTTCAGAAAACTGTCAAGGCAAACTTTTTTGGCGGGAGAGATTTGAACTTAGAAAAACCTGTCAGAAAGCTTTGTGACGACACCGAGTGTGAGCTCATTCAAGATCAGATTTGACCAACATTGGTACAGGTACAACAGTACAGTAAGTAACAGATGAGACGTGACCGACCATCCAAGCGGCTAACAGGCCAATCAGTGGCAAAGAAGACATAGTAAAGGATAATATTACATTTGGGTTTCTATTTTCCTGTAATATTAATAAATGAGACACAATATATTCTCACTCCTGTAAATATCCCTTTCATTGCTAAAGACCTGAATAATTCATCGACTCTTACACAGGGCGACACAGTAAGAGTGATCTGGGCCTACGACGATGAGGATCCATTTAATATGACAAGTATGCAGCAGCACAAGTTCGATCACCGAGGGACGAAGAGTCTCTACTTACAGGAACCTCCGCTAATTCGCACAAACTTCAATGAGGATGTGAAGACGTGGGATATTCTTTCTTCTAACGTCAGTGATATTCATATTAAGTCCCTGTTAGCTCACTCATTGAGTTCTACCTTTCATAATTTGTTGTTGTTGGACTAGTGTATTATTGTTACGCGCTTATAAACTTTCGTTGATAAGCGCAGCAATAATATTGCTATAACAACAACAACAACAACTGTGATCACAGTGAAATATACAGAATATTCCTAGGGGGAGTGTTTGAGGAGTGCAATTATTATTATATTATTATTATTATTTCTTTTTGATGTATTTGCCACTGTGGAAATATGATAGCTACAGTGTTCTATTATACATTATATGTTTTTATACGATTTTATGCCTGACAGGTGAGTATTCCAAGCAACCTTAAAACTCTGTACTGGTGCAAAATTTTCAAGATACCTTCACTGACCCGCAAGAATCAAGTCATTGGAGTGAGTAGACCATGGCTTGTCAGTTCATTATTACAGTATATTCGTAAAAACATAACAATTACAACTATGTTTTATTTGCTTTCTCATGTCTGATGTTCAACTTAGTGAATATAAACCATTCAGATGTTAATACAAGGTTATAACACTTCATATTATAATACACATTATTTTATGTATATTATTTCTTTATTATTTATGACCAAGTTGCTTGTATCAGTATGTTCCAGTGATCGAGGAAAGAAACTTAGCACATGTCCACCACATCCTGCTGTACGAGTGTCACCTTCCTGACAGTGGTCGTCATTATGAGAAGTGGCTGGATATTGATGGTAGACAGTGCTATGGACCCAATATGCCCGTCTCTTGGACTTATTGCTCTTCCACCTTCGTTGCTTGGGGCATTGGTGGTGAAGGTAGGTACATTATGAAACTCGTGGTGAATGTGATTGGACTAGACGGGGATTTCCCTGTTCGTTCATTGTGAGTCACAAGACTACAGAATTTTGTGTTTGTTGTTTAGAAGCTAACGTAAAGGTGGAGAATACGGATAACAGGAAAAAAAGAAAAGAAGAGTAATTTATGAGAACACCGCTACTACCAGAAGCCGTTGTTCGATTTCGTTAATTTTTTCCACAAACATACTTATCATCATAAGAAGTACTATAGGTATTTTAAATGAGGCGACAACTTCTTATGGATATTTCACTTGTTGCCACTAAACTAATCTCAGGAGTTTGATAGCTGCTATCAGTAATTTTGACAGTTCTGAGATACTTTTCTTCAGTGGTATTTCTGGCACAAATTACGTATAAACGAGATATTTATAATTTGATTATGTATGAAAATTTAACTTCACTTGTTGCTACTAAACGAATCTCTGGAGTTTTACATTTGCAGTCGGTAATTTTGACAATTCTAAAACATTTCTCTTCAGTTGCATTTCTGGCGCTTATTACGTGTAAGTGATATATTTAACATATAATGTATGTTCATATGTGGTGGGACACACCAAAAACATCGAACAACGTAGCAATACACACCCAGAACATCGAACGACTGTGGAGCCTGTCGGGATGAGATTGTTTGGTTCACACTCAGGATGGGATGGAGAAAGGAAACTCACAATGTGCTCTCTATATACATGTTGTATTGGATGTACAATGCAGCTTGGTGCTGGGAAGGCAGCATGGTTACAAGCGTGATGTAGAGAGAGCTGGTTGGTGAGGATGCTCAGAGAAGGACAGCTGGTGGGTCGCCATGCTCGCCGGCGGGAGCGAGGACCGCCAGGCAGGCGGAGGAGGAGGTGTTGCTGGCTGGTTGGTGTAGGTAGAAAGAGGACAGGTCACCACGAGGTCAGGTCTTAAATTGCGGGGGGTAGGCGTGGCTTAGTAGCTGACCCCCGCTCCGTGATGTATGGCGGCGCTGGTTGACCTAGACCACGAGGCATACACTGGGGAATTGGTGGGGTCGGCTACTCAGCGACAAACAGCGTTTGTAGGGGAGAAATCCACTACAAGCCTCCCCCCCTCCCCCCCCCAGTTAAGTTAGGTTAGATTCAAAACTGTTTCCGATGTTTTTTTTTATTTGTTTTGAACATCTTTTACCTTGATTTCTATAGCAAATATCTAGATTTTGAGATGGGAGGAGAGGTGGGCTTATGGTAAATATTCGTTTAATGGCTGTGGCTCCTTTTTGTGATAAGAATATATATTTTTGGGAGTGTGTATTTAGGTGTGTTTTATTAAAATCAGACCTTTATTTTTTTGACAAATGAGTGAATCTTGTAAAAGAAAAAATATTTTTTTTAATTCACTCATTTGCACAAGCTTACTTGATTCATGTTTTCGGTGTTTAGTATGAAATGGTGTTGTCTTCGGCTTTTAGTATGTGATGGCGGCATTGTTTTCGGTGCTCAGATGAGGAGGGATCCATAACTCAAAAGCAATTCTTCACATTTGTTTGGTGTTATTTTTATTATTTTACCCCACATATTTCCTTCTGCTTAAAGGCGCAGTTCACTATGAACAACTAATATTGATGGTAATATTTTGGTTAAAATACTCGAGAAATATAAATTTCCGATGGAAACGCTATAGAATAAATATTTTTTTTCTTTCTCTCTTTATAAGACTCAATATATAAATAGGTGTTGGTAGCTTCTAAATTGTAACCAATGTTGCCTCTTTTAAAATACTTACTACAGTGTATAAGAACTTCTGTGGAAAAAATGAACAAAATCGAAAAAATCCTTATGGTGGCAGTGGTGTTCATTTACATTAACACAAAAAAATTATTGAATTAAACCAAAATTTCTGAAGATACTAATTGAATGACTCAAAACACGACAATGCACAGAACCTGACCTAACCGATCACCTAACCAACCAAACCTACCTAACCTTACCTAGCTTCATAACCGGAGGACCCCTCCCCCTAGACCTCCTTGGCATATTAAACAGAAAGAACTTACTTTGATATTTGGTACAAATAAAAGCAATTTTCTTCAAGCGGCATCGTGTAAATTTGCGTTTATCGGTTGTTGTACTGAAACATATATTTCTTCTTCACTGTCAGTTCTCTACCGCACATTGAATACTTGTACGTCCTGCCAAATAGTCTATGTTGACATATGAAATTTTGGAGACGGTCTTTATCCTCCACAAGCACAGATAACTTGTAAAACGATAAAGAACCACCTGCACAGGACGTCATAAATACGTTGTAATATTCAAGGTGGTGAGCCTGTCTCTGAGTCTGTCCCCGTGTGGAAGAACAATAAGTATAGGAATTTACAGTTCACTTAGAAACGGCTAACACCAGAAGTCGGAGTTCAATCTTGTTATTTTTTTCAACAAATGTTGTTTGGATGATAGTAAGTAATAAAAATGATACGACAATGTACAGAACCTGACCCAATCTTGTCTAACGTGACCTGATTTTGTGTAATGTGACCTGACCTAAGGAGACGGTAACATCAGAAGCAGTTGTTCTATTTTGGTTCATTTTTTCCACAGATGTTGTTTGGATGATAGTAAGTAATCAAAATTATACGAAAAAGCACAAACTCTAATTACATTTACTTACTTCTACTTTTATCCATTTTTTCCTCTTCGCTACTGATCGGCTCGTTAGCCGCTTGGGCAGTCGGCCACGTCTGTGAAACGCACTGGTGGCAAGTACTGTAAGGGCATGCACTGGCTCCTTGAATGTATCGAAACCTGCTCCAGTCTTGGTCAAGTCTGGTCTTGAAAGAGCTCACACTCGGTGCCATCACAGCACTCTCTGGCAGATTGTTCCAAGAGTTCAAAGTTCTCACTCCGAAAAAGTTTGCCTTCACTGTTTTCTGGACTTGTGGCTTCTTCAACCTTGAGCTGTGACCCCTTGTGGGGCGGGCGTTCGCCAGCTCCAGGTATGTACATTCGACCAAGCAGTGCCCTCTGAGATGTTGATACACTTCGATTAGGTCGCCCCTTGCCCGTTTGTAGTATAAACCAGGCAGTTGCAGGCGTTCTAATCTCTCTGGGAAGCTGAGGTTCCTTAGAGCAGGCACCAGTCTGATGTCCCTCCTTTGAACATTTTCAATTAACTGACAAGTCTCTAGCATATCTCGGGGACCAGACAGGGTGACAATACTCTCCTGTCCTGCTCACCATTTGTCTTAACCCACTTTTCGAGATCCTAACTTTTCCTCTTAAATTTGTCAACTGCCACATGATTCATTTGTAACGGTCTTCTTGTATTCTTGGAGGCACTGGGTTTGGTCTTGGGTATATATTTATCAATAAAATGGTAAACTTTACTAGCTACGATATTCAGCGTAGTGTCTGCGTTCTTATATCTTAGTAAGTCAGGCCAGTGCAAACCCCTCATCTCCTCCCTCATCCCGTCATAATTTCCTTTGTAATATTTGAACCTAGACCTGTTTTTGTTCTGAACCAAGTTATAGTTAAATCTGAAGGACAACGTTACAGTACGTGGTGACTGGTGCCAACGGGGGCTAGGCTTTCCAGTTTGGCCACCATACCCTCCTCATTAGTTATGATGAGGTGTTTGCTTTCCCCCCTGTAGTGGGTCGGATCTTTAACATGTTGAAATAGAAAATTGTCTCTCAGAGTTTCTACAAGAAGAGTGGCGTGATTATTTAGATCGTTTGTCGTGGATTTATGTTCCAGTCAATGTCGCCATAGTTAAAGTTCCCCATGACAAGGAGGTGGCAAGGGTTTAGCGCCATTACGTTGTCAATTAAAGCTTTTAAGTTCCTTTGGTTTAATAAGCTACAGTTCGGGGATCTGTAGATACACCCGACAATGATTAAGTTTCTCCCGTTTCGTTTAATTTACACCACATTGATTCTTCAAAAACATCCTCTCCCCGCACCCTTACCTGTGTGGCTCTAAGGTCTTGTAAGCATAGATAACCACGCCCCTCTTGCAAGTTTGGTGAGAAAGATTCGTAAATGAGTCATATTCATCGATATTGAACTCAAATTCCTCAGGCTCGATTCTCTCTTGTCAAGGATTGGTCAGTATTAGTGTAAAATTTCGGAAATGTGTTTCTCGCCTCCTGTGGCAACCCGTTCTTCCAAACGGCAACGTTGCAGTAGTAGTACCAGTCTCACTGTTTATGAATGAATGGGTATTGGTAGTGTAACGACGGACGTGATTGGTGGATAGGTTTGTTATAGGTCAAATAGGTTGGCCGTTTGGAGACACGGGTTACCACAGGGGGTGTAGGAAATCATTTCCGCAACTGTACATGACTTTCAAGCCAGAAATTGTCCCCGGTAATTTCTCTGGTCATGGTACTGACTCCGGCCCCCCCTACAGTCTCTGCAGCTGCTTCGTTTGCTGAATCCCTTGTGTTTTGTGGGGTGTGGTCAGAGATGACATTGTTTACATGACACTCGCCTCCTCCTGGGAGGGAGAAGGAGCGGGTGGAGGGGTGCTCCTCTGGCTCTGTATTTGTGCACGAGCCTGACCTACTGTAGCTTCTTAACCAGGGGGCCGCTAACCCCCAGCCCCAAGACCCCAGACCCCCGACCCCCGACCCTGGGACCCCCAGACCGCCCGACCCTGGGACCCCCAGACCGCCCGACCCTGGGACCCCCAGACCGCCCGACCCTGGGACCCCCAGACCGCCCGACCCTGGGACCCCCAGACCGCCCGACCCTGGGACCCCCAGACCGCCCGACCCTGGGACCCCCAGACCGCCCGACCCTGGGACCCCCAGAAACCTCCTTCGTAACCTCCCAGCATGTTCAGCAGAAGAAACTTTTAATACTGAGGTGGATAGTGTACAGCAATGGCATCCAGTAAGGATAATTTCCCCCTTCTTTCCTGTGTAGCCCACTACAGGTGAATTATGATCGGAAATAGAGAAAACCGAAAACAAATCAAATTAAAGGAAAACGTTGTCTTTTCCTTTTTATTATTTACTATCATTCAAAAAATAATCGAACAGCTGGTTCTGGTGTTAGTCGTCTGCTCCACTATTACCGTCAATTATATTCCAAAGAAATTGGAAATGTATCCAAACTTATACTCTGGGATTCGAATCCAATTGTATAATTCTCATCAATTTTACACCTAATAGGTTTAAAAAACCAATTATGTTAAAAGAAAGGATTTGTACTGACAATACAGACTCAGGAAAGTGAAGCCTATAACATGAAAAACAAAAGACAATCAAGCCAATATACCCGAATAAGGTAATAAAACCTCTGATGTGACGCTCCGTCGTTTATTATAAAGATAACCAAGACCGGATTCAAAATTTATTAGTTTAAGAACAAATGACAACTAGCGGCGTCACAGGAGAATTTTAGGCAGAATTTTTATGGTAAATATTTAATTTCTTCGCCTACAAAGTAAGTAGAGACATGTAATTACTGCCATAAGATCAGGTTTTTGCCAGTTTTTACCCCACAATTTCCCATATCATTCATGCCCTGCCCACTACAGGTGATTTATGGTCATAGGTAGAGAAAAAAATTAAATTAAAGGAAAGAGTTGCATCGTTTTTATTAGTTATTATCATTCAAACAACTACTGTGGAAAATATGACTGAAATATATAAACGCCATCGAGTGCTAGCCTACTCCACTTTTACCGAATCAGATGTTAATATCTCGATTTACGTAAGTATATTGTGAGAGAATTACATTGCTAGTACAGTAGGAGGAAGTTTTGCTTCTGAAAGTTCTTTGGCTACCTTCAGGTTGAGGCCTAATTACCTTGTACAGTATAAGAACATAAGAACATAAGAATGGAGGAAACTGCAGCGGGCCTATTGGTCCATACTGGACAGTCCCGTTTACACCCAACCCCTATTGCTCATATAAGCATCCAACCTATGTTTGAAGCTATCCAGCGTATTCGAGTTAATGATGGTATTTGGTAACGTGTTCCATTCATCCACTACTCTGTTTCCAAACCAGTGTTTACCTATTTCACGCCTAAATCTAAATTTGTCTAATTTAAAACCATTGTTACGCTTTCGCTCCTGGTTGGATAGTTTGAGTACCTTTGTAATGTCCCCTTTGTTTAACCCTGACTTCCACTTATACACCTCTATCAGGTCGCCCCTCGCTCTACGTCTCTCGAGGGAGTGCAAATGAAGATGCTTTAACCTGTCTCTATACTCAAGGTTCCTAATGCCCGGGATTAGTCTTGTCATTCTCCTCTGAATTCTTTCCAATGATTTTATATCCATCCTGTGATACGGTGACCAGAACTGAACTGCGTAATCCAGGTGTGGTCTCACAAGCGCAAGATACAGTTTTAGGATGACCTCGCTAGTCTTGTAACTAACACTCCTTTGTATGAACCCAAGTACTTTATTAGCCTTGTTACGAGCAAAAACACATTGTTTACTTGGCTTAAGGTTTCTACATATCATTACTCCTAAATATCTCTCACAGTCGGATTTCTCTATGCCATCGTTGTTCATCTGGTATCTGGTTTCCCTGTTTACATCTCATATACTGAGTACTTTACATTTGTCCACATTGAATTTCATCTGCCATTTTTCAGACCATTCGAAAAATTTGTTTAGATCTTCCTGTAGTTTTGCGGAGTCCTCGTCAGATTTAAATACACGTGCTATTTTAGTGTCATCAGCAAATTTACTTATGTTGCTGTCTATGCCGATATCTATGTCGTTTATGTATATAATAAATAACAATGGTTCAAGTACTGAGCCTTGGGGAACTCCACTTGTGACGTTGCTCCAATGGGACTTAGTGCTGTTAATGCTCACTCGCTGTTTCCTGTACTGTAACCACGCCCTAATCCATTTAAGGATGTTTCCTTTGATGCCATGTGCTTCTACCTTTCTAATTAGTCTTTCGTGGGGGACTCTGTCGAAGGCTTTGCTAAAGTCGAGATTTACCACATCATAATTGTGCCCCTCGTCCACCGATTCGAAAACTGATGAAAAGAATGTTAATAGATTAGTTAGACAAGAACGTCCGCTTGTGAAGCCATGCTGGGAATCATTGATCAATCGGTGCTTCTCCAGGCGATTTCGTATAGAGTTTGAAATGATTGCTTCCAGTAATTTGCCTACTATTGATGTTAGACTGATTGGGCGGTAGTTAGAGAATAGTGATATATCCCCCTTCTTGAAAATCGGAATTACATGCGCTATCCTCCAGGATTCTGGTACTACACCTGTTTTTAAGGACATGTTAAACAACTTTGCTAAGGGCATACTAAGCTCTTCCTTACATTCCTTTAATACTCTGGCAAATATCTCATCGGGACCAGGTGACGTCTTAGGCTTTAGTTTGTCTATTTGCTCACTAACATCGTTACTAGTATCTACTATCTCTCTTATTTGTTTTCTTCACTATCTCTGAATATAGTCGGTGCCTCGGGTATCATGTTTAAATTTTCAGTGGTGAAAACTGTTGAAAAATATTTATTCAAATTATTGCTCATTTCTCCGTCGTTATCAGTGAGCTCGCCGGTATCTGAGCGTATTGGTCCAATCTTTTCTCGTGTTTTAGTTTGATACATTTGGTAGAATCCCTTGGGGTTTGTCTTCACCTCCCTTGCTATCCTTACCACATTATTCCTCTTGGCTTTCCTTATCTCGGTTTTAACCCTACTCACCAATATCTTATAATAATCCTGGAGGTAAATTTTGCCATGCTTTATCCTTCTACCTATAGCCTTCCTTTGGCCAATGATGTTCTTTAAATAATTATTTATCCATTTAGGGTCATTGTTGTCTGATCTGAGTTTTTTGTATGGTATGTTCATTCCTCCTTTTGCCAGACTGGAATATTTTCCTCCCTTTGAGGACAGCTCGGTAATTATCCCACAAACACTGACAAACAAATTTGGCAAGAAAAAACAATGTAATTTTTCATGCTTAATACAGTGGTAATAATGAAAGTTTTGGGAAATGCATCATTATTGAGTTATGACCCTTCGTACCCTGTCAATGTTAACCCACCAAAGTTGGGTAGGTATCGAAGGAGAGGGGAAAATGTGGAGCTAAAAACATAACCAAATGACCGAACCTAACCTAATCTATTCAATTTGCAGTATTTGCGTACTGTACTGAGCATATTCCGCAAACAGTGGCATACGATTTAGACTCGTAACCCAACACAGGTGTATGAATTAGGTTTGTAAGCTGGTATTTGTGGAACACTAGCCCAGCTCTGAGGTCTCATGTCACAGTTATATCAGCATGTTCAATTGTGTTAAGATAAGTTTCTAAAACTAGAATGGCATAATTGGTCACTTTAGTTTATTAACTGTGTATTTCTTTACAGATACATATTTGGACCATGAATCAGAGATACGTGTATATTGTTTAAGGTCTCCAGCCACCCATGGGAGTGTCTAACTTATAATGTACTGTTTCTTGGCAGGTCAGATTTACCCAGACAATGTAGGTCTGCCAATGGGTGAAGAACATGGTGGATCAACCTACATCTTGATGGAGGTGCATTATGATAATCCTGAGCTTAAACCAGGTGAGAATTGTATCATCCTTACGCCATACATATTTCTCATCAAGAATAGAGATGAAATCCTTACAAACCAACTGTAAACAGGTGAAAAATTAATCATTGTGCAATAGTGGAACCTTAGGGAAGGATAAAGTGGACATAAGCCTTACACCAAGCAAACATGAAATTTTTGAAAATGCCGACATTGGTTTTGGTGATATTGATCCTCAACCTAAACTGAGTGAAATAATTTTCTAACTTCAAGTCAGTTGGTATCATTAGAGTGCTTCTCTGACATCAAAGCAGTTGTTGCTTAGAGTTATCATTTAAATTTTAGTCTTTTAATATGATCTAATCCTAATTCCTTCCTGTGGTTGAGAGAGATTGTAGTTTAGATCAAACTTTTTATTTATTTTCCAAACTTTGATCTGAAAATGCAGCATAACTTTAGGTTGAAAACATGCCTGTACAGTGTATGATTAAAGACTACAGTATATGTTGAATTTAATCTACACAATACATTTTTGACATTTCTACATTCTGTATCCAATACTTTCATTGTAGTGTTGAAAACATGACTGCAACTTTCACACACCACCGTATATTATCCAATTTGGTGAACATTTCAGATGTTCTCATATCTCCCTTCAGATATCGTTGACTCCTCTGGTGTGCGCATCTACTACACTGACCGCCTGCGGCAATATGACGCCGGGATCTTAATGGCTGGACATTCAATCACCCCAATGCAAATCATTCCACCCAACAGAAAGTGGCTTTCTATTGGCCACTGCACTGGCTCCTGTACGCAGAAGGTACACGCATCCATTCACTGATATTAATACAATTTTTTTTGCAATACTATACTTCAAATGCAGCCATTAAAGCCGGTAAACACAGATGTACAATTCTCTAGATTGCACTTCTATATGTATTAGTCCAACTCAACTCTCATGAAAAAAAGCAGTATAAGTGTACTGAAAATATAAATGGTAGTCCCAAACGATAGGAGATTAGTGTAATTTTTAGAATATGTTTTACTGATGTACACTTTACAACAGTCTTGATACTGAAAATATGTCAAAATATTGTCTAGTCTCAAGATCATAGAATGTGCTGCGCTGGATCAGTTACTTCTTCTGTTTGAGAGAAATTGAGTGATCCGTCTGGTCCAGTCACCCAATAGTAAGCATCATTCAACTGAAACTGCCTTCTGTAAAATTCATAACGATTTGGTATTAAACACTTGCATGGGAAAGTCCTCCCTTCTGGTCTTGCTGGATCTCTGCAACCTTTGACACGGTGTTTCATCATCTGTTACTCCAGGATCTTTGGTCGTTTGTTGTCTGTGATGAAACACTCTCACTGCTCGAGTCTCACTTGCCAGAGTGATTTCAATGTGTGATGGTTGGTGGAACCATTTTAGACCCTTGCAGTTTGGAGTTCCTCGGGAGCAGTTTTGGTACTACTGGATGCTCATAGTGTTGCCTATCATTTCTATGCCTATGATATGCAACTTTACATGCAAATGATAAATGCCGAGGATATTGGGGAGTTAGTAAAACCCTTGATGTCTGATAATAAAATTCAGAAGGCTAGGAGAAAAATTACGCTGCATGATGACAAAACCGAGATTACTGTCATCTGGAGAAATAGGAGGGGTGACACCATGGATAATTTTGGATCTTTAAAGTTTGGGGAAGTAAAACTCAGTCCTGTCGATTCTTTTCGTAATCTTGGATTGTACTTTGACTCAAAACAAAATTTTAAAGAGTATATAAATTCAGTGATTAAGAGTTGCAACTATTATATTCAAAATCTATGTGGCTATGGAACAGTTTTAGGATGTCTTGTGACACTATTACTTTCACTTATTTTGTTTCGGTTGACTATTATAACTTTTTATGGGGGTGCTCACCTAATTATCTACTGAAGAAAGTTCAAATAGGGTTGCTGGGCTTATTTTTGCTCTTCCTCAGAGGACATCCACTACCCCATTCATGATCGAATTGCACTGGATTCCAATTAAAGCTAGGATAGAGTTCAAACTCTGCCTAATGACTTTTAAGGCAATTATGTTTGATGATCCTAAGTATTTGTCAAACCTACTGAATCTTTTGACCACAAGTTCTGAAATGATTTTGCATAGTAGAGCAGTACGGGAATGTTCTTTTGCTTCCCGATCCTTTTCCTATACAGGGTATAACACCCAGATTGTACAATCAGTTGCCTGCATCTATGGAGCAGTTGACTTCTGTGGAGGCCCTTAAGGAACTATTTAAGACCTTTTTTTTTTAAGTGTTACAAATTATGTACAGTATATACGAACTTGCATTTTTTTGTATCTCTGTAATGTTTCGAGCTCTAGTGAATGATTTAGAAAAACTCACCTTTAAGAAGCAAAACAAATAGCTATTAGCTGATATTATTATTATCATTATTACAATAGTCTGCTGAGAGAACCAGTAACACATTTACAGTTATTAATACAGTTATTAATTGACATCTTACTTTGAGTAATATAGAGCAGAATCTTACCCGTACAGTAATATATTTCAGTATATAACTGCCAAATAAGAAAAGACAGAGAGATCACCGTTTTTTTCAAATTTTGCCTAATAAAGAAAACTGTGATGTAGTAATTATGCCAGGTTCTGATAGTGAATCTGTATCACTTCTTGAACATTATAATCATCAAGTAATGCTTGAAACAAGTGATGGTGAATGGATGGCAAGGCCAACACAAGAATAATCAGTGTACCAACCTTGAGAATCTGGAACCAGAATTGTCTGTTACAGAAGTTGCTGCTTGACATTTATTAGCTTTTGTCAATACAGTACTGTACATAGATGACATTGCTGCACTAGTAACTGAATCGGAAAATGTTTGTGCTGGAGAAACAGGTGAAAGTGACCGAAAGTTAAAGCAATATTACTGTTGCTTTAAGAATCTGCACGTCCAAATATTCTAGTTAACAAACTGTTCACATTAAAAACTAGATTGGGTACATATAACCTTATTTTTGCTCTTTAATTAACGCACACACCACCCAGCTACCTTCCTTACAGTGTACTTGAATATAGCTCATTGTGGCAGATTTTTTCCTGTTGTTATTGGCAGAGTAGAAATTTCTTTTGGTTAAAACAGAAAATGACTGATAGTAATAATTATTTATGGATACAATAACCACCTATATAACGGACTAATTGGGGGGAAGGCCCGTCCGTTAAAGTCGAAAGCTCGGTATATCCGGAATAATAATGCATTCGTTCTATTATACAGGGTGAATCAGCAAAGAGTACATTAATTGGAGGATGAAATCCTTGGATAATTCTAAACCACAATGTCTCTATGGGAAAATGTCAGATTCTGCATAGTTTCTATGTTACAATACATTTAAGATGTTGTATTAATGAGAGTAAATTTGAAGTGAAACCCCCGTAGGTTTTTGTAATCATTTATTCGCAGATGTCTACAGTGTGACCCCTCTTAGTTACAACCTAAAGGAAATGTTCAAATTTGCCCCCTTCTGCCTCAATGTAGGCCTGTACACGTCTCACCATTGATTGTCTGATGCGTTCCAGAATGCCTGGACTGTTTAATTTTTTATTTTTTATATATAGGCTACATAATTTTTTACTACTACTAACAACAATAAAGAAATCCAAAAATGGAAAAAAAAGATCAAAAATAAAAAACATATGTATGTTGTGTTGTCAGTAGTAAGAGAAACAATTAAGACCCTGCAATTGTGTGTAAATGAGGCAGAAAGTCAGATCAGCAACCTGGGACTTGGTCACTATTTTCGTGATGCCATATAGCAGCAGGGTCTACCATTATACAATACATGATGCTTCCAATATCTTCCCAGGCGGTAGTACCTCCCTATTTGGTAGCTGCTACCTATAAATTGCTCGCACCTGCCACAAACACATGGGCATATGCAGAATCTGACATTTTACCGTAGAGACATTGTGGTTTAAAATTATCCAAGGATTTCATCCTCCAATTTAATGTGCTCTTTGCTGAATAGTCCAAAATGACTATGATAATTTTAGTGCTTGAGGATTGTTTAGTGGCTAACTATAATAACTTTCAGGCATATAACTCAATAAATGTCTGTCTGTCAGGGGTGTGGAGTGGTGTTAACGTCTTGGCTGGTTAGGTTAGTGTGAGCTGTGATGCTGGGTTACCTGTGTCCAATTACTCTGCTTACAAATATTTATGGCTCTTGATACACTTGGAATTTTGGTATTTATAATAAATACAAGCATATATTGTTTTCATGCTTGTATGTTTTAACATACCAAAATTCAATAGCTGCATCGAGTGCCATAAATATTTATGTCCAGTACAGTATAAGCAAAGTAAATTTCTCCTTTCACAGTCATGCGGCTGGCCGGCGGCCGCCTGCTGTAAAGGTGGCACATTTCTTTTATAGTACAGTACAGTACAGTACTTATATCCACTAAATAACTCAATAAAATAGTGTTAAGAAATGAAACTTAATAGAGTAGATAATGGAAATGATATGCGTGTGACTAATGTTTATTTGCCAAGCCAACCTTTATAAAGCACTCTATTACATTAAAGTGTGTGGCTGTGGACTGAACAGCTCACTCGCCCGCCGTGTGGCTGTCCGCGCACGGAATGTAAAGGGATCAAACTCAGAAACTCAATGTCGAATCTTGTTCAGTTATTACTGTACAGTACTTTTAATTCTGAAAACGTACTGATTTTTTAGTTTAGATTGACAGATTTATTGACTTAAATTATCATACATTTTTCACGTGTGGAATAGCAATTTACGCATGCACATTGTTGGTAGGGCTTCAGATCCCGTGGTAATGCATAATAGTAAAAATACGAGTTCCTACTTCATCGCAGCTAATAAAATACCATTGCTGCAAGTCACTATCAAAATTTGGAACAAATTAATTATGATTCCTGTATAGTTAAAATAATTGGAAAAGTCTTTGCACTAATTAATGAGAATATCCTGGAAAAAGTTTTTCACAAAGGGATTATAAAATGTACACTGTGTTACTAACCGGTCATTGCGTTTGATGTCGACGCCCGCCTCGTTACGTGTTAAAATTCGAGACCATCTGAACCATCATAAACGCGTTGGCCAAAACATTATCCCGATTCAATTGCCCGTGCATATTGGCACCTGGATCAACAGTCAGGTTTGATAGACTAAATAAACAAGTAAAAGAAGGGCTTCTTAGCTTGTGTAGCAGGTGGTGGAGAGAATTCATCTGGACACTTAGGCATCTAATAGAAAATTAGATCATGATGATTGTGAGTCTTGGGATGCACATATTAAAATAAACTGAGTTGATGTATTGATTAGTTGTTAGAAGATGCTATAACATCTCGTGGATTGTAGGTTTCTTGCTTGAGGTTGATGTGTCCATCTCCTGTGAAGTATGTTGCTCATCTCTGCTCCCATGGTTGGTGTTGCTCCTAAGAGCTTTGTTGCTGGTATGTCGTCAGGCAGGCATTTGCCTCCAAGCGTGAAATCGCAGGAAACTCCTATGTTTAATTTTAATTATCTTCTAAACTATAAATTATAATTGTTTTTATTTAGTAAACTTATTATTAAATCATGCAGTGAGTTTGTCATTAAATTTGGGATTCATACAAATAGTAATTTAGAAGATATAAATTTCTACTTCCCACTGAAGTTCTATAAACAGGAATTCCCTCCTTTACGAAATCTCTGGTTATGGAATTTCGTCCTTATGGAATTTTGAAATTATGACCATAATTTTGAGTTACGGGAAAAAACTCGCCCTTACGGAATTTTGG